AAATAATTTAAAAATTTTGAATTCAGAATCTTTTACTGACAATTTCTCTCCTCTTACCGTCCAGTCAAACCCTACTCCGATACCAAACATGTTGTTAGCCAAAGGTCAGCAGTGTGGGAGCTCATGGAGTTCGAAGACAACGGCTGACCAACAACATTTACCAGGTGCTTATGTAACATGATCTAATGTGTTTGAATTAGCGACTGTACTAACTTCATAAAACTATTTGTAGATGCTTAAGTTGGTCGAGCATGATTAAGGAGTCAAAGACACATCTTGTGTTATGCCATTAGTCAAATAAGTGTTTGGGACTAGAACGTATGTAGCAGTAAAAGTTTTTCAAATGCACTGTTGTTGTAGTAAAATATTTCAGAAATACTGTAAAAAATAGCTAATCTAAATGGAATCCATGTCTTAGACAAATAGATTGTTCTTGTCTATATAGGTGTAGTTGCTTAAAAAAGCTTCTTTTTATTTTTTTTTGGGTTGGGTTTAAAGAGAGTCTCTAAACATTCGAAGTTTTCCCCGGGTTTTTCTGGCAGTCAATTTCCCGGTGCAGAATAAAGGTCATGAATCTCAGTCCCCTTGATTGAGTTCATTTCCCTTTCCTCATTACACAAGTTTTAAAATTGAAAGAGACATTTCTCTGCACCGAAAAGCGAACAGCAGAAATTTGCAAAACAAAAGATAGCGTTTACCGACAAATATGCAAATTAGAATATTGCTTCGCAGATTAGTTGCTTTCGATTTTCTACTCAGTCACTTTTATAACGTTATTCTTTTCTCTTTTTTTTTTAAAAAAAAAAATATATGAGGGATTTTCTTTTTTCTTGTTTTTTGTTGGGGTGTTGATGATTTGATGCAGATTTGAGGGCATTTGAAAGTAGAAGTCTAGGACCTTCAGCAAAGCCGGTGATGAGCATAAGATGGACATTCTTGAGCATGACATGATAATCAAGTAATTATCATAAGGTTTTGCTGAACATATATCCCATAACAACTTCATATCTTATCTTTGAAGGAAAGTAACCAAATGCAAAATCATGGTTTGTACCAGAAATTTCTTTTGCTCAACTAAATATAAAACCTATCTTGATAAGTATCTGCACATTTCACTTCTCAAGTAAATCCCGGTAAAACATTTTTAACCGATACATGATTGCTACTGTTTAGTTAGTCTCAAGACAACAAGGTAGCCAGCTTTTGACCATATCATTTACGTACGATTAAAGAACTAGCAAGTATATAAATTCATAATGGCAATATACATATATATATATTTACTGAAGTTCAACGGCAGTGCAATGCACTATCAAAAAGGTATGGTTTTAGGACCAAATACTTTCAGAAAGGGAGGAGAAGTCTTTTAGAAGGAAGTGATTCAAAGAGTGCAAACCAAGTAAGTTGAAAGGGGAAGAATGCATGAAGCTCAACTTACTATTCAATGAATGTCTCATCATATCAATAATGTTTATACATGCCTCACTTTGTATATCGAAGGGAGAGTATTCTAAAGAGGAATGATGCATGGAGTACACCTCAAGTCAGTTAAAAGATGGTAAAAGGTGATCGAAGACATGGAAACCATCCAATATGGTCATATGATTCCTTTGAGTCTCCTCTTGTAACTCATTCCCAAGAGAAAGATATGTATTCTTTTTTTTTTTTTTACCCCAAGAGAAAAATATTCCTATGAGCCCCAAAACAAGACAAGCTTTCAGCCGTGGATTCACTTTTGTTGAAACTTTCTTTTGCCCTAACTGAAGCAAGAAAACGAAAAAGGGCAAAAAAAAAAAGAATTTTAGTTATAATCTAGGAAGGATATTTAAGAGAAGCCTTTTTTTTTTTTAATAATTCCACTTGATTACTATGAAACGTTTAATGGCAACAAAGACTTGCAAATATTATTATTCAGTAAAACTTTAGTGTGACAAATTCAGTAGAAATTTTAAATTGAAAACTTTAGCCCAATCTTAATGAGGAAGAAATGAGGATAGTTGTTAATATGAAAAATTCAGGAATTCAATTGAGTTTGTTTGGATAAGAATTTATTTGGATGATTTATTTGATCCAGTTACTGTAGTACTTTTTGTGATGTGATGTATGTGAGATAAAAAGGTGATTGAGAATTGTGTGTATGATGCAAGCAAAACAAAATCTGAAATAAATCTTGCAAATTTTCTTTGTCCAAACAAACTATATTTTTTACAATTTCAGGAATAAAAGATCAAAATATCGATTCCGATCAAGAAAAGCTTTTCTGGTTGCTTTGGATAGGAATAATATCCATCCTTCCTATGCTAAAGATTAACTAATGAAGATTAACTTGAATATTTTCGTTTGGAACGTGGAAACTTAGCCAAAAAGAATCAACCAAAATAGTGGCTATCAAACTTATATTGGATAATCATTCTTTTCTTTACCTTTTTGTTTGGATTGCGGTTTATTTGCCAAAATATATTTGCTTATATCATCATTACAATTTTCAACACACCTTTTTATCTTCCAAATTATCTTTTTATCTCACATACATCACATCACAAAAAAGTGCTACAGTAAAATTATCTCTAATAGTTTACAAGGAAAAATGGCCAATTTTGTCCCTAAAATTTTTGTTAGTGCCGATTTAGTCCATAACTTTTATTTCTGACTAATTTGATACTTGAACTTATTTCGCAGTTCCAATTAAGGACCTTGCGGTGGCACCACTACCTAAAACGAATATGGCTCCTAATTGACTAATTAAATAGGGATATTATCATGAGACTGTAATAAAACAAGTAAATCGTATAAAAAATCACCAAATAAAACTTTTAAATCGTGTAAAAAATCACCAGGTAAAACTTTTTAAAGTTTAATATTGTGATTTTTTTACACAATTTACTTGATTTATTATAACCCCATGAGTGATGTTCCCAAAATACCATTGTTTAGTTGGTCAATTAAGAGCTAGATTAGTTTTAGGTGGTGAAGCCACCACTGAAGTCTTTAATTGGAATTGCAAAATAAGTTCACATATCAAATTGGTTAGGAATAAAAATTAGGGACTAAATCAGCGCTAGTGAAAAGTTTAGGGATGAAATTGGCTATTTTCCCTAATTTACAATCCAAACAAACCCACTAAACACTACCCTGTTCTTTTCTTCAATCTGTATATTAAATCTTTACAATAAGTTTATACTTGAGTTAAGTGTAAGTAGAATTTATTTTTTGGATAAAAAGTAAGTTTTTTTAACTGATTATTGAAAACCCGTTAAGTACAATTTGATTTACATCACTGCCACACAATCATAGGTTAAACATGCATGCAACTAAAAGTTACATATCTGTAATTTAACAAATACAATATATCTTAAAAATCAAAATCTTAAGATATTCTAAATGAGATATTTCATCATTTTTTTTGAACGGTTTTCATTCATGAGATCCTTGTGCTTGCCGTCAATGATATTACTTGCTTTCCATTGTAACGTACAAGTTGTAGCCACTACAAAATTTACCGTCAAGATTTACTACTACCGGTAACGTTTATTTTCACTTTGTAAATACACGGCGGCACTACTATATCGCCCTCTGTGCTTTACGCGCTATGTAGATGTGTTAATGCATTGCATTTGAAGGCATCAGTGTGATTGGTTGAGGTGACGATAAATCAGCCTAAGTGGATGAATTTTATTGGATCGTGCGTCCACGCTTCTTATGATATGCAGAAATCATAAAAGCCACGGAGGAACTTCCCTCATCTAGTCCAGCTAGATTACTTGCGTCAGACTAAACGGCGGTTATATTAGAATTTAGAAGGATCATGAGAAAAGTCATTTTTTCCCTTCTAGAACTGAGAACAACGCGGTTAAGTTTTGTTCTTTTCTTTTTCGGTTTTCAATTGGAATTACAGCCCACGATGGCACATACCCAAAGTAGAATTTGCGCCCAACCTCCCGGCTCTAAAGTTGAGTATGGCAAAGGCACGTACAACTCTTAAAGCACGATGTTACACCCTTTGACCGCCCAATTTCCAATCATTGGTTAAAGCTAATATATACTAAATGATTTTTATTTAGATGAGATAAGACAATGTAGTGCATTTTTATAGGTTTCTTTAATTGTACTAAAATAAATAGACTTAGGAGATCTTTTTATCCCTGCAATTTTCTTTTTAAAGATTAATGCTCGGTGATGAAAGAACAATATCTCGAATAGAGGAAGAAGTTATCTCGAACACGATTTTTTTCACATACTAATTACTTTTTTTGATAAACAATACGTGACACTATGATTGATCACGTTTTTTTTTTTTTCTGTACAAATAATGCAATATCTTTTTCCTAAATGAATGAGAGAGATTCATGATTTCACAAATGTCTCTGACAAATTTGTTGATCATGTACTTACTTATTTTACAATATAAACGTTTAACAATGAAAAATGAAGTACACTTTCTCCATCTATAACTTTTTTAACCAAGAAAAAGCCTAAGGAAATATCCACACTACAAATTAATGTGCTCACTCACATTACTCGACAACAATAGGGTAATTACAAAATTTTCTTCTTTTGATCATTTTTTTCAACATTTACAAAATTTCTCACTTGGATCAATCTCGCACTAAAGTTGCAAACAATTACACACCACTCCCAGCACAGGTACAGATAAGTACTGAGACTAGTATAATACATGTCCACATAGATACGTATATGAGTACGCGTGTGTGTATAGATGTGAAGCAAAAAGGTTGAAAATTAAATGAAGAAGGCGCGGTGGTGAGGAGAGTGTGGGACCCGTGTGCAATCAGAGGAGAGAGAAAGACACAAATCCAAAAAAAAAAAAAAAAAAAATCAATCAAAAGAAATGGGAAAAAAAAAAAAGGAGGAGAAGAAAAGGAATGGTTTTGCCGATGAGTATGAGAATAGTGTGTGTGTGTGATTGAATTGAAGAAGACTTAAACATCACGACAGTGAAGGATGTGTGTTAAAGGACAGCTAGCAATGAAGCGAGAGCTTCACCTACCATAATACCCCATTACTCTCTCCCACCCCCACCCTGCCTTTTTAGCCTTGAGTTCCATTGTGCTGTTTCCTCTTCAATTCACTTCACTCTTTCTCTCTGTCTCTCTTTCTTTCTTTCTTTTTCTCTCTCTTTTCCAGCTTCATATATTTGTAGCAACAATAGCTAGTACTATTAGTGGTACAACAGAAAGTGAGTGTAATGGAGGAATAGTTTAAAGGGTTTTTGTGGGTTTTGGCTGTTTTTTTGTTTGTCTCTTCCTCTTTTCCGGTTTTCTTCTTCTTCTTCTTCTGAATTCCTTCAACTGGGATTTTTTTGAAACTTGTGCCAGAGGCGAATTTCATTAGACTTCTCCAGTTTCCTGCTGTTGTTACTAAGGAGTAGGGAAGTCGTTTAGGCGGGAGAATTTTCGGGGCATTCCATTCAGGTTTGATTCTGCATTTTCTGCAATTCTTTTTCTACTTATGGCACATAAAGGGCTAAAAATGTTTCCTTTTTTGAAAATTTACCCTCTGAAAATCGATTTTCCTGGGCTGTTTTTGAGAATTTGGGAGATGCAGACCAAGGGGAAGAGTATGAACATGTAAAGTTTGAGTCTTTATAGTTATTTCTTTTCTTTTTAGTTTCAAGGGCCAAAATTACCAAAATTTCAATCTTTTTCATTTTAACCCTTCAGTTTTTCAAACACTGGATGATTTATTTCACTCTCTGCATTTTTTTTCCTTTCTAATTTTCTGCACCTGACGTTTTGTTCCATTTTGCATGTAAAATTAGACAATTTTGCACCCTGGGAAGCGGTCTGCATTTTGTTTTTTGCTTGCATGCTGAAAACCTCAAGGTTAGCTTCAAAAGTTTGCATGTCGGTGCATGAATGTTCTCATTTTTTTTTTGTTTTTTAAAAATGCGAATTTTGCGAGAGAGAGTTGAATGCCTTTTGTCGGTGCTTTCTCACATGCCATGCTCCTGGGTTCGCAGTAAAGATTATGGGAATCTCTATGTCAGCATCTTATTTCTTGTAATAATTATGCAAAAATCCAAATTTGATTCGAAAATCGAATCTCTTTTACTGCCATGTTTTAAGGTGGCCCCTCCAATCCAAGATAGCAAAAACGAAACATTTCATTTTTTTTTTATCCTCATTAATTAATTGCCTTCTGGAATTTTAACATGTTAATTTTGTGTACCCTATCCATTTATATTCTGTTTTCCAAACCATTTCAGGTAGAATTCTGAAGGAGTCCAGGATTTAGAAGAATGAATCCAAATTTTGTGGATGAGATAGACTGCGGAAGCTTCTTTGATCACATTGATGACTTGATTGAATTCCCTCCTGAGAATGAGTGTGGTAACGGCCTTGTTGGCTCTGGTGACTGCACGAATTTTCCTAGCCTTTGGGATGAAGCCTTGCCGGACACCGACACCCTTTTCACCGGCAATACCAGCAATTCGGCTTCTGACCTTTCTGCGGAGCTCTCTGTTCCGGTAATCATTAGCATTACCTTTCCACATTCGATAAATGGCAGCATTGGAATGTGATGCATGGTTCTAGAAAGTTTTAGATAGTGAATCTGCCTCAATTGTTTGATCAATTGTGGTAATATTTGAACATTGCATTGAACATCAATATTTGAAAGTTGTCTGATGCATGTGACCTTATGCTTTGACGGTTATTGATTAAAATAATTCTGTCACTTCTTTGTGGGTTTTTGTTTTGTTGTGGATGGAGTGCAACAATTGCGTTGTTGTGTAGTCATTTGTCATGGATGAGATATGATGTTAATTTCTGCCCATCAACTTTGAATCTTGTTATTCGTCAGAGTCATGAGTTACTCTGAGTTATTCGTTTCTGTTAATCTCAACGGTTACGAATCTTGTTATATGCACAGGCGCTGAGAAGGTTGTAGGATTGAAAGGTCCGGCCTGTTAAATGGTAGTAATAGAGTGTTTGGAAAGCGATATCTTAATTGTTTGAAGTTGTTTTTTAAAATTCGAATATTTTGATCTCGATTGGGCTGGTCAATGCAGAGATGTAATGGGAATCATGTGTTGAAACTTCATGTTTCCCATTTGTGCCCGTTTGTCAAATTAAAGTTTCTTCCATTTTCTCAAGCTGATGATGGTTCATGAGACTAATATTTTCATCAACTCATCTTTATCCAAGTCTCTCTGTTGATGTCTTTACCTTGATTTTCTTGCAGTACGAGGACATTGTACAACTTGAATGGCTTTCAACCTTCGTGGAGGATTCCTTCTCTGGTGGAGGGATGACTCTTAGCAAAGATAATTCTTCTGTCAACAAAGACAATCCCTGCAACCAATTTCAAACCTCCAGCCCTGTTTCTGTGCTTGAAAGTAGCAGCAGCAGCAGCAGCTCCTCCTGCTCAGGGGGGAAAGCTATACCGCTTAGCCCCAACCACCGTGGACCACAACGTGCTCGTAGTAAACGTCCGCGCCCGGCAACCTTTAACCCCCGCCCGGCTATTCAACTTATCTCTCCGCCCGCCTCCTTCAGCGAGACTCCTCATTTGTTTCTTGCTCCTGGAGTTTCTTCAGAATCGGAGAATTTTGCGGAGTCTGAATTTGTGAGGAAGTTCCCCAAGCCTGCTGGAGGAGAGCATAAGAAGAAAAAGAAAATCAAATTGACTGTTCCTCTGGGCCCGATGGAGATAAATCAGAATTCAGCATCACAAGCTGTGAGGAAATGCATGCACTGTGAGATAACAAAGACTCCTCAGTGGAGGGCTGGGCCTATGGGGCCAAAAACGCTCTGTAACGCATGTGGTGTTCGCTACAAATCCGGCCGTCTCTTTCCAGAATATCGCCCTGCAGCAAGTCCCACATTTGTGCCGTCCCTGCATTCAAATTCTCACAAGAAGGTTCTTGAGATGAGGGTCAAGGTTGTTGAGGAAAACACTACAGTGGGGACTGCAGCAAAAGCCTCAGCTGCCGGAAGAGAGCTAGTTCCAGAGAGTAAACCCTCGCTAGAATACATTTGAGATTAGGAGCAGAGAATGGCTTCCTTGGAAGTCATTTTTCTTCTCTGCCTCTTTTCATTTAGTCCTCTTGCTGTTCTCTTACTGTATTTCCATTTCTTCGTTCGTTGGTTCTTTGTACAGAGATGTAATGGGGGAGGGATAGGAGCATAGGTGACCATATTTAGCTATTAGGGAGAAGGAATGATATGAGAAGGTACTAAAAAACTGATAAAAGAGATAATGGGGAGTTTTAGGGCTAGGGCTCAGCTTTAGCGATGTTGTTTAGGTCCTTTAAAGTTAATAGGTATTTGGGGTCAGTGTTCTCTTTCTGCTCTTTTTGGGTCAGTGTTCTCTTCCCAGCCTTAATGGGAATTCTTTTTGCAGTTCATGTGCTTGTAGGAAACTCTGAAAATGAGACTGCTTTTAAATTAGAGTCTTTAGTTATTTTACTCTTTCTTAGAAGTCTAGATCTGCTGCAAGTTTCTTCGAGCTCCAAAATTTCCTCCCTGCCTGTGTTGATGCCTTCTTTCATTTGCTGGCTGCCTTCCAATAGCAAAGATTGGTTAAATGTAAAATATCATGAAAATGAACGCACTCCGGTAACTTTGGATGGTGCGTAAATTTTTAATCCAAAATTAAAATCAGTCTCATGGGTTCGACTGTGTCATGGGGAAGAGAAAAAGAATAATACGAATAGCATGGGAAAAACAAAGATCAAAACTGGGACGAAAAGAAATTATTATGTACTAAATGCACTGGATAATGCAGAGAAGCCAGTGGCAGAAAGAAATACTCCTACGAATAAGTAGCAGTTGTAGAAGTAGGCAAGTAGATTGTGGGTAATTTTGACAAGGATACAAAAAAAAAAAAAAAGGGTAGATTGTGGGCATTAGAAATTGATCGAGCAGATGAGGACTTTTTTGTCATCTTCAACAGAGACCAGCAGCTGCAGCTGCCAGAATGTACTGTTGCATGTGATGTTCAAGGGCGTTCGATGCTTTAAAGTCTTAACTGACTGATTCTGATTCTGATTCTGATTCATATTCATGAAGAAGACAGCTATTAAGCTTGTGAAGTCAGTTTTCCAGAATAGTACGTGAGTGCGTAGCAGCTAATTCCATTATCGAGGGAGGGCTACACTACTGACTATTCCCTCCTAAAGGACGAACCACGAAACAGGACACCAGGCAATTGAACCTGGTGATTCATTGCCGACGACCACTTCTCCTCTCTCTGGATTAATGATTAATCCACTCTCTCTCAGCATTTTCTGCTTCAAGTTTGTGTTTTGCGGGGAGGAATATACCCTCCTGACCAAGTTTGTGTTTTTGCGGGGAGGAAATGGCCACCACCTAGCTTGGTGGGGTGGCAACCCTCGCCTTCCACCAAAATACCACATTTAAGTGGTTTGTTTAAAAAAATTCATGCGGGTGTGTTGTACACCCGTTTGATCCGGTGGTAGTTCAGTCCCCTCCGGATTATTCATGGACCTCCTTCGGTCCGCCCCCTCCCCTTTAGTGTAGAATAGATTAGATTATACAACGGTTGTCGTCTCCGAAAAAAAAAAATTATATATATATATATACCCTCCTGACCACTAAACTATTATCATTGCACTCTTTTGACCCCTCAATAATATATTGTCACGAACAAGGCCCGTAACAGAAAATAGAGTATTACGTTTAAGAATATTCGTCAAATTTAGCCGTTAGTATCGACGGTACGACGAGTACATTTTTTCTTAGGCTGAAAAGTGAACACTTAAGAATATGAACATCTTGGTTCCTTTTCCTTTATTGTGAGAAACAGGTACATTTTTTTTTTAACTGTGTTGGTTAATAATTGTCAACTTATGTAATTAGCCTTTGGAAGGATCACAAATTCTTGAGGGATCCACGAGAAAATCTCAAAGTGATACTCTACTAATAATTAAGTTGATGAATGCTTGGAGAGATGGTTGAATTGAATGGTAGGATGAAAGAGATTGTAAGTAAAAGATTTTGGATTCAAAACCTCTCACTCACTTACAGAAAGAGAGTAAAGTTGATAAACACTAAATAAACTTGATGAACGCTGCTTGTTGATAATGAATCTGGGAGGTTGAACTCAGAAGGGGAGTTGCAATCTTTTATCTTTTAATCCATTTTAAGCTTGATAGTTTTATTAGGATAACTCACCATATCAAACAAATTTATCCATCAAAAATCTTGATCACAGACGTGCTTCATAAATCTGTTTCTAAAATATCCAAGCTCCCCTTAAATTTTACTACATATTTTACCCGAAAAATAGAAAAAGAAATACTAAATCCAACCTCGAATTGAGAATCTTATCTTAAACCAAACAAAAGCAGCCAAGTTCTTTCTGAAGCGTTAAGTAATTGGGCCAAGAAGCCCGGAAAGAGTTGCAGTAAGTAATATTTCAGGAGTGGACATCAATGTCAAAAGCCCAGTCCGTTATGGGGGCGCCCCAAAGTTGTTGGATCCTGAAACTTACAGTTTCATCCGCCTGACGAAATTCGGGCTCCCAATTTAGGATCCTCGTTATGAAATTCGGGCTTGGTTTGTCTTTGGATTATACAGGGTGATTAGTATCGTTAATTAACTTATACGTTTAAGAATTAATCTTCTATACACTGACGGTATATACACTTTCACCATTAGACGCATAATACATAACTCAAATTGAATTTAAAACTCAAATTTTGCATATGTATCATATATCCAACGGTGATAGTGTATACACCGTCATCAATATATATAAGATTCACTCTTAATCTATTCTAAGCTAAATAAAGCTTGCTAGAGTAGTAGCGCTCTAGCACCTTTCAGAAACAACTTTTGGCTTCCCACCAAGAAAAAAAAATCTAAAACTTAATGCTTATAATAATTTTTTTTTCTCTTAAAAAAAACTGTTTTCTAAAGGCATTAGCCAGACCTAAAACTTTGCTTAAATAAAGAACCCAAAAAAATGAAAAAGGAAAATGCAAGTTATAATTGGTCCATATATTAGTACATGGAACACAATAATGGCACTATAAATGGAGGCAAACAGGTGACACAGACGAGGCATCAGGCAATAGCAAAACCGACAACATGAAGAGGGCCAATGGTGATTAGTTGAACTACATGTATCGGCCACAGAAAAGGGCCTCCCTTGGGAAAGATACCTTCATCTAATATCACATCACACTACAGAACTTCCCAAATGCTATTGTCGTCACACAAAGTGGAAAATAATCGTGGCTCAAATAATTAGTGCTTGGGCCCCTATGCATTTATGTTTTGTTTGACAAGTTATATTCGAGGTTACATACAGGCAATTAATGTTAAATCAGCTTGTTCCCTCTAAGAAGAAAAAAAAAAAAAAAACTTCAAGATCAATTCATAATATAGTAGTATATATTAACACCTTTGGGCTTGATCTTTAATCCTTTTTTGAACCTCCAGTAGCATCATCCTACTTGTTGATTATGGCCAATTATTGCTTTGTATAAATCATATAATATATGTATGTATGTACGTATGTATGTAAATGAGTGCATGGTTGATGATGCTTGTAAGGCCGACGGGCGAAATGCTTATGCTAAATGCTGAATGTTCATCAAATATTATTCATAATCTAATTACTAATAGGTTTTTCTTTTCTTTTCTTTCGTTCTCTCTCTTTCTCTGTCTATTTTGTTTTGGTCCCTTTTTGGTATGGGGTTAAGATTTTGATTTTTCTTTTAACAGAAATCCCAGTACTACACTCACCAATTGAGATTCTAAGTGTTAATTTGTGTAAATTATAAGTACTTGTGATTTGTGTGTGTGTGTGTGTGTGTATTAGCTTCCACGTTCATTTATTTATTGACTCTAAAACCCTGCCAAAGATGATGTATAATGGTCCCTCGCTTCAAATGTTATGTGGACCTAATTTACAGCTAGAATTGTCTCATAAGCGTGCTCTATTACTGTTTCAAAGCGTAAAAGAAGACAAAACATGTTAAGAAAAGAGAGAGAAGAAGAAGAACAAGTCAAAACAAGGTTACTTCACCATGAATTTGTCCTCTAGCTGTCCATGAATTGGTTAGTGATCGTAGCAATTAGTGTATTTGATATTTTTGGCTCGTATGGCAACTCGATCGTCCATGTAGTTCAACTACCTTGGGGGATCACCTTGAACCTAACCAAAAACTAACTGCACCACCTTCCTGCATCTCTTATTCTTCTTTTTCGTCCTAAAATCCTAATTAACCGTGCTTTGCTAGTATTCTTGCAGGCCATTAAATTCGTATACTAAAATGGATGGTTGCTTTCTGACCCAAAAAATAAAAACCACTTTAGTCCAAAATGCGTTCAATTTGAAGTTTTTGTCTAGTACAAACTATAACTATTTTTTTTTTTAGCCAACTATAGGGTTATAAGTGGCTTAGATCTGGGTTAAAATTGGGAGATCAAGACGTGATCTACTAACTAGTATTACCAAAACTAAGAAACGTTACTTGGGGCTACTGGCTAGGGGCATCGTGTCCCCGTCTGATAAATTAGGGTTTGAACCTGACTGTCAGGTCTGGGGGAAGGAAAGGATTTCAGATTTGGGGAGAGGGGAGGAAGGATTAAAAAAAAAACCAATATTACCAAACCCAAATTTGGAGCCGAGGGGTCTATCAGAGCATATTTAGATCCAAATTTGTGGGACGTTGTTGAATCTAGATCTAGATGTGGGTTTTGGTGTCAATTTGATTACTTAGAAGAGTTATACATGAAATTTTAAAACTTTGTTCGCATAACATGTGTTCTTTTATTGTAATTGCAAAACAAATATTCTTAATTGTTATTGATTTTGTTGTCAATACTAGGTCTCTTTACAACAAATTAACATGTGTTCTTTTATTGTAATTGCAAAACAAATATTCTTAATTGTTATTGATTTTGTTGTCAATACTAGGTCTCTTTACAACAAATTAGGAGCATGAGATTTACAAGAAATGTAGAGATCAAAGAATAGGAAAACAAAAACTAGCACTCATGTCTCATCTTATCAGCTCATACATCATCTAATATCATAGCCGCTAGCTTAGGTTTGTTTGGACAGCTGATTATTTCCCCAAATATATTTGCTTACATCATCATTACAATTTTCAATATATCTTTTTATCTTCCCAATTACCTTTTTATCTCACATATATCACATCACAAAAAATGTTACAGTAAAAACATTTCAAATAACTAGGATTGTCTAATTTGTTGTTTTGCAAGTACTATTAATTGCGGAAAGGTGGTAGTATACAGGTAGAAAGCTAATGGCAACTCAGCCATGAGTTTGTCTAATATGCGGATAGTTACGTACTTATATATATCTCTATATGTATCAAGTGTACCACCAACAAAGTGAGACTGAAAGTGCTAAACAGTTTTAAGTACCTGCTTTCCATGTTATTTTTTTTTTTTTTTTTGAAAAGATAGAATTAAATTGAG